GCCTCCGGGTATGGGACTAGAACCATGGTTGACTACATGGGAGTCCAGTGACATAGCCATTACGCCAACTGCTGTTCCCAGGATGACAATCTTGTCAGCACCCTGTCACGTGCCAGGCCGCCATGCCAAGAGCTCTCTTAGCCGCGGTTAAGTTTAACCTTCCCCACGACGCTGTGAGGTGGTGATGTGGAGCTCTCCATGCACCCAGTTCGCAGATGGAGAAATCGAGGCCTCAGGGAAGGATCGAAATTTGGCCCTGGCTACCTCCCACACAGGGAGTCTTAAAGGGCTTTTTGTTTTGTTTTTGTCAGAGGGTGTGGTGCGTGTACTCACCAGAGGGAGAGAGGGAGAAAGCCCCAGCAGCTGGGACATGGTTGTGTTGCAATCTCTTCTCTGCCATCTCTCCATCCTATCAGGCCTTTGGGCACAAACGCACGTGCGCCTGGTATGTTTTATCAAGCTGCCAGGCTGGGATTTGAACCATGGTCAACTAGGTGGGATCTGACTCCCTTAACCACTAGGCCATAGGGCCAGCCCTGCTTTTACATTTTCAGAGTTTATTTACGGGACTAGCAGGTGGCGTAGCAGTTGCATTTCCGGACTCCCACATGGCTGACTATGGTTCGAGTCCCATACCTTGTGGCTTGAAACTCACACCAGTGTGTGTACATGTGTGTGCCCAGGAGGACAATGATCCTGGGGGGACACTGAAGGGGAAGGGATCAAAGGGGAAGGGATTGCAGCGTGGCCATGCCTCCTGGGGGGTGAGTTCTTGCTTTCTGTCTCTCTGGGGAGTGCACGTGTCCTATAGCAAAAATCTCTAAAACAAGACTTGATAAAATTTTATAAAACAAACAAGAAAACTCCACAAACGTTTATTCATTTACTTCCTTCCATGAGAGAGAGAGAGAGAGACAGTGAGACAGTGAGCACGCCCACAGGGTCTCAGCAGGTCAGGGTCAGGGTGGAGGTCCCAGCTCTCCATACCCTGTGGGTGGGTCTCCACCCCCGCACCCCTGCATGACCCCAGATGGGGCTCTTTCTTTTTTTTTTTTGAGAGGCTTTTGCTATAGGGCGTGTGCACTCGCCAGGCAGAGAGAGACAGAGAGACAGAAAGCGAGAAATCACCCCCCAGGGGGAATGGCCACGCCGCAATCCCTTCTCCTCCATTCTCTCGGGATCTTGGGCACGCATGCACAAGCGCCTGGCGTGTTTAAAGCCGCAGGGTCCAGGCCTCGAACCACGGTCGACTACATGGGCGTCCAGCGACATAGCCATTACGCTAACTGCTGGTTCCCCCAGATGGGGCTCTTAAACCCTCTGCTCAGTGGCTTCCCAGATGAGCGGTGCAAGGAGGTTTGGGGGGACGGGGCTGGGAGCACGGGGACCTCTACTCCCACGCCCCCAGCTGCTTAGACTGGGCTTCCACCAGAGCCTGCTCCCGTTCCCTGGCTAGGTAACGTCTCTGAGTCTGTTCCTTCAGCTGCAGGGCGGGCTGTGGGGCGGGAAAGTGCGGAGCGTGTGGGCAAACAGGTGCCCCCAGGATGCAGGCGGACCTGGGTGAGCTCTGTGAGCCGTGCCCTTTCCCCGCCTGGTGGCTGTAAGGAATGCCTCCCCGTCCTAATCCAGTCCTCGAAGCTGGTGGCTTTGAAAGGTAAAGTGGGACGGGCAGGGCAAGGTCCTCGCCTCCAGCCTGGTCTGGGCCGTCCTCACCCAGCATCGCCTCCCTTGGCAAATATTTGTTCCCTCCTACCCCGTACCCCCAACGGCTGCCAGCTGCTTCCTGCTCCGCCCCGCTGCAAAGCCGCAGGTGGGAGGGCAGCTCCTCCCTGCTCCGGCTCCGTAGGCCACGCCTCTCCCTTCCCGCCCCTTCCGGAGGCATGGGGGGCCTTCTCGCCTCCCTGCCGTGTCATCTGCACCCCATCCTCCCTCACCTCCCTCCTCCTGCCATCTCGGTCCCTCCAGTCTCATCTCCCCGCCACGTTCTTCCTCCTCCCTCACCTCCTCCATCTTTCCTCTCCTCCCTCGCCTCTCTCCCCCTGGCTCTGAG